AAAAAAAAGAAAAAGAAAAGGTGTTTGTTTTAATATTTATTGTCTAAAACACCCAGATTTTTAATTAAATTAAATAATTTTCTTCTAGTCATTTCCTTTTTTAGAGAAAATAGACCCAAGCACGCGTGCTCATCATTCTAAAGTTTTCTCAGAATTACCGGTAAAGGCTTGTCAGTCAGGCTGTAAAGCTTCAGCTCAGAAACTTGACTAATCAAACAGTTCCGTGTCCTCCTCCTACAGCACAGCGTCTTATTACTATTGGCAATCTGTCATTTCACTGACACGAAAAGCCTCTTTCTGTTGATACACCGCAGAGAAGCAAAAAAGGGACATTCACACTCATCCTCAGACCGCAGACGTTTTCATCTTGCATTAGCACGTTGTCGTAATGTTGTTTTGACATTAAATATCTGGCTCTGCCTTGTGGTTGCCCTTGGCAGTCTTGTTTTCCTTGTTCTTCTTTGTTTATTTTATGCTTCTGATTATGCATTCTGTTTTAGACAGAATACACATTTACATGCAGACATAAATGGGCGGTGCATGCTAACCTCAGGAGTTTTTTAGAACTGTCACTAAAAACCTTTATGGTGTTTCTGTTTTCCTAGAACATTTTAGACGTTTGACTAGGACTAGGTTGCACAAGCCTAGACACTATAGAGGCATAAATCGATACAGCACAGTAATACAGCAAGCTAATGGCTCGGTCACACTAGTAAAAATATGGCAACAAACTACTGTATTGTTACAAAAGATTGTATTCAATCGAGCAGCAACTTTTGGTGACCAAATGGTTGCCCAGAACCTGATGATGTTGCACACTCACAATAACTTGACAATAAGGTGATTGAAGATGTTGCCTGATAGGAGGTAATGTTTCTGCAAACAGCCACATTCTGACTTGGACTAATTGCAGTCATGCTCAGAGAGATTGCTGAAGGTGTGCAAATAATTGCTGTCTAATTTATAAATGAAGACAGATTGCTAACATGTTGCCATCAGTCTAAAGGAGTCTTTGTCAGGAATGAACTACAGAAGACTCAACTGGCTGCCAGCTGGTTGTAATTTTATAGAACAGAAAGCTTGCTAAGCAGAAATGTAAAAAATAAATGAGAACTTTTGATAATAGGAATTTCTGTTTATGTAGGCAGCAACAAATATGTGATTTTTGACAATTTATCAGAGGTAATTCATATATTATCAGAAACAGACTTCAAATTGCCAACTTGAGTAGTTAAAAAATAAATAAAATGCAGTGTATGTTATTGCAATGATCAGCATATCGCAAAATGTAAAAAGCTACAATAATATTGTATCAGAGCTGAAAATGAATTTTATTTATGCAGTGCCAAAATATTGAAATATTGTAACAATATCATATCGTAGGCTGGCTAGAGATTCCCATTTCTATTATACAACACAGACACTAGTTGACGACCCGCTGGCAACCTTCCAGTCACTAAGGAAAAATGTGCATTGCTGGGGGTTGATGGTTGTGAAGTCAGTCACAAAGACTGTACTGTGTTTAAAACCCTCAATATTTGCTTTAATTGCTGTCAGCTTCAATAGTTTGCACGAAAAATGCTGACTGTAAACACTCACTAATTAAGTTGTAACTTGAGAAACTTGAGAAAGCACAAAACAAACCAAAAACTGTTTGCCCTTAGACCAAAGGTTTGTGTGAAAGCAGCACATTTCAGAGGTTCAAAAATGTTTCCTTTGAAGATGAACTTTACACAATTCCAGTTTGTGTTGAACTCTTCACTATTTCACTAATGCTTAACATATATTTTGTAAAAGTTTGCAGATTTTAAGGTATACATACATATTTTAATTGTGAGCAAAGTATTTTAAACTATAAATGTTAGTAATTAAAACACATTTATATGTCTGCTTCTAGAAGGGTGCACATAAGACAAATAAGACAAACACAACTGACTTCTCTGTAGCTGATTTCTGGTACCATACATTTCACTGTTTTTAACCAAAAGCAACGGGCAAATCAAGGCTGAATTTTACAGTATCAAAGCTAGCAGGTTTAGCTGAAAGAAGAAGTGTCTAAAAAATGTTCTCATTGCTTTTATTTAAACTTTCACTTAAATGCATCTCAATTATTTTAATGGCCTTTTCAGCATGTCCGATGTGTTTGCTAGAGGTGAGAAAATAAACCTCTGCAGTGGTTTAATAATCATCAAAATTCAGAGGACAGTAGAGGAGAGGACTGACAAAGAGAGAGACATGTAAGAGGATGACAGTGGGGAAAAAAGACAAGATGAGAAAAGAGAACGTCATCTCACAAAGCCAGACTAATCAAAGCAGTGAGAATTTGCATCGACGGGTCACCCGTAATGCACTCGGCATTTTGTGAATCTCCTTTAATCTCTTGGTTTCACTTGATTGAGAATCCAGTCAAACTTGAACTTTAAATGAAAATACCAAACATACTGAAATTTGTTCGTTCTTTGCAGACACTGCGCCGCTACTTAACATCCACACATGAAGAATTCATTTGCAAAAAACACATTTGTTCATTTTTGGAAATTTTCATCAGTGAAACTGCAGTTGGCCTTTTTGATTTAGTAAAAATAACTCACCAACATAGAGGTAACTTACCAAATTACAAAATGTTTCTATTCAAAAGTGTTCCATTTAAAGTCATGAGAAAAAAAATAGAATTTCTTCTAAGTGAAATGAAACAGTTCTAAAAACTGCAATATAAAATTAAAGCTGTACTGTCACTAGTCGGTGTCCTATAGTACTAGACACAGCAACCTTAGTCTTTGACAGAGTGTGGGAGGAATCAGTCCCATCTCTAAGTATATTGTTTGGTTGTGATGCCCTCTTTGTTGTACACTAGTGAAAGAAATGGCTGAACTTACTTGAAGAACTTGATATGAGCGATCTCAGAAGGTTTCTGTCCATTAAAAAACAAGAAAAAAGTTCCTGGTACACCAGAGAAGGAATATAGTCAAGCAGTGTGCTTAAGTGCTGCATGTCAGATGTGCATAGATGACAAGCATTTGCTAAAGAAATTATTTGAGAGAAGACAAGCACTCCCGTGGTGGACAAGACAAGCACATTAAAGAGACACTAAATGCCTCCTTTGCTGCTGTGATTTCCAGGAATCATAGAGCTACAGCATGATTCCTGGAAGGATGTCACACGGGACAGCTCCGCTGAGTGTACATTGATCAACTCTGGCATGGTCGTCTACAGAGTGAATCATGTGGAGGGGCAACAGTTGGCCTGAGCAGCCGCTTTTTGTACACACATCATGTAATGGTCGCCTTTGCCAGCAAAGGGAAAATATAACGCAGTGCATCTTTAACTCAATAACAGACAGCAACAATATTTTTGCTATGTTGTGTGAGTTTCAAATTTCCTATTGTTTTATTTTAGATTTTTTCTTGTCTTATAACCTAAAAGCAATTTAATGCAATGTAATGGACCTTTTTGAAAATATAGGCTCTTTAGATAAGCCGGCCAGACTTAAATGTACATTCATGCAACATTTTACCATGTAAGCTTGAAGTGTTTCTTCTACCTCACATCAATTGCCAATTTAGAGCCACTCATTAGACCTAGCAAGCACGATTTTGGACTAGGAGAGGAAGCTGTAGTACCTCGAGAAAAACCTACACAGGCACAGACACCAAACAAAAAGATTAAGATCAGGAACCTTCTTGCTGTTAGGCAACAGTGCTAAACATCGCCTTATACCTGACTACTTTTGGAGGAATTTGTTTTTAGCTTGTTAAGCCCCTTAACAAGCAAAAACATGCTTAAAGCATTAAAACAGGCAGCTAAGCAGGTTTGGTCTAAACGTAACAGACAACTTAGCAAAGAACTCGTTTTAAATTGTATCGTTAGGCCTTTTTATACTAGCAAGAAAAAGAAAATAAAAACAGAAAAGATCTGATGCAGGACCCGAGAGATGCATCCAGCCCTTCAGTTGGTCCATCTACTCTACATATCAGTGACAAAAAGTATTCGGAGTAATTGAAATGTGAAATTTGTGGTTCAAATCGTCTGGGAGCAGGTAAAGCAGTGTCTACAGCTATCTATAAAATGTGCTGGAGGCTCTGCATTTCAGCCACTGGTGTTGGGGATCATGCTAAAATTAATGAAATTATGATGACAAAAAAGTATGTCTGGAAACAGTGATCCCAAGCATACCTGAATAGGAAAACGCACAATACCATGTATTTTCGGTCATGGATCGGCGTCTAAAGAGCCTAGACCTGCTTTCTAGAACTGCTTTCTAACATGTGAAGCAAAGTTGTTCAAGCTGTTGTAATAATCTTAGCAGAGAATATAATAAAACAACTCCACAAGCCTTTAAATGATGCATAAAATATGTGAAATGAAACAAATTAGCCAGAAAATAGAGTATCTTCCATTTAAACACAGTTTAATAGTGCAGAGGAGTGCACAATCAACTCTCATCGATTAAACACGAACGATGAACCGTTTTGAGAATGACTAACTGCTCCAGCGAACGTCATGGGAGGTCCTTCGTTCCATCTAGTTGTAAAATTTATTTTCTTTCTGCTGAAGTTGTATAATTTTACAACTTCCACAATTTTGAACAACTGTTACAAAGCAATTTCCCTTTGGGGATTAATAAAGTTATTCTTATTCATAAAATGAATTTAGAGCAACGCACAGAGCTCCTGTGGGAAATGAAATCAGCTCCCTATGAATCAAGTCACACAAATGAACCCTCTAAATATTGAGGCATACAGCAAAAATAAATAAATACAGTTTATTTTGTCCTTAATCTTTTTGGCAACTCCATTTGTTTCTGAAAGACTTATTTGGAACGTGTTGAAAGTGTCTCATTAAAGGGAAGCTACCAAAGAAGATAAATGCCTTACAAAAAAAAGACCAAAAGCTGATCCATCCCAGTGCTCTACTTTAAAATTCTGCTTACACTTTATGCATCACTGTGATTTTTCTCCTTCACTTTATCTACTAAATCTTGTAAACAGTTTCAAGTTAATGTTTTCTTTAGCCTTTATTTAACCTATTTCTTACAGGGAGGACAGCCCTGCTGAGGTGAACAACTGGACAAGTTCACAATCACACCCAAAAACTTTAATGTGAATTAATGTTACACCCCTTGTTTGCTCAGCTGATATCTTTCTACAAATCCAATTTGCAAATGTGTGTGAGAGTGTGTTATTTAAGCTACGCTAGGAGTCCCATGGTTGCCCACAAAGTTAACAACAGTAAATTTCTGACGTATTTTCCACTTCAGCTCAAAATAGAATGGCCTCTGCTTGTAGTGCCTCTTTCTTCATGTTTGTTTTTAATTTTTCATTTGTATTTCCTCACAGGCTGCATGTATTCCAGTTATTCTAAGTAATGGCTGGGAGCTTCCCTTCTCTGAAGTAATTGACTGGAGGAAAGCTGCCATCATTGGCGATGAGAGGCTGCTATTACAGGTACTGTAAAACACTGGAAAATTAAATGATGGGGAAATGAAATTAGATCTTCAGCAGATGTATGAGTTTTCCAGCAATAGTATGAACAGATGCAGAAGAAAAAAATTATACATATTATATATATATTTTTTTTTTACATATAAATATGTAAATGGCTCAAAGTTAGCAAAGGCCACCACCATGTAACCTGGATAAAGAGGACAAACTTTCCTTGCACTTTACACCAACAAAAGATAAACGGTGCCCTTTCAGCATCGGCTAATTCAGTGTCTGGATGGTGAAATGCCACCATCTTCCCAGTTATAATTGTCCTCTCTGGCTCAGAATCCCCTTGGGAACCCATAAGAATCCAGCTGGGGCTGATTCAAACTTCAAGCACAATGCATAGATCAGAAATGCGTGGAAACAGATTTGTGGCCCTGAAGCATGAATAGGCTGACTTTGCCAAACAAAGCTGCCATATGAGTTTAATCAGCTTGATTTCAGTTTAGGCACTTTTATGCAAATCATGTATTCAGTTTGAGAAGCCTGGAAGAAACTGACAAAATGTGTAATATTTCCTCAACACACTCCTGCCTCTCTGAAAGGCTTACCTGCAAGTGGGCACGCAGTCATGTCAAAAACTAAATAGATCCTAAGTATGCACTTAATATTCCTCAAAGATCAAGCGTTTGTTTGTGATACTGTTTATCAAATAGCCTTTTTAATGACTTGCTATCTGTGGCTTGTAGAATAGATTTTAGGATTTTATTGCTTATTTTAAAGCCTTAAACTGACTTATTCTTGCCTGCATCTGCAGCCTCCTACAATCCCATACCAGTGGCCTACTAATGTGTATTCATTAAGAACTTGTTAGCAAAGGTAACCTGCTATTGCTTCCTGCTCCGACAGCTGTGGAAGGTCCTGCCTCTGAGGGGCCTCTGATTAATCCTTTCTTTACACTAAACTTCATGGAAAAAGCTTTTTTCTCATTGGGTATATTTTCTCTAAATTATTTCAAATGGCTGTCATTTCACTCACAATTCACAGGCATGGATGACATAAAGTATAAAGTGAAATGCTGTAATTTTAAATGAATTTAATTTGACTGTGAGCTTTTGAATATAAAACCAAAGCTCTATCCATTTTCCTAGTAACTAATCCAATTAGGTTCACACAGAGGCTGGAGCCGGTAAATGTGGCAACACCCTGAACACGTTGTGCTTTTTACACCTACAGCTCATTTAGGATCTGCAGTTGACCTGCTGTAAGTATGCCAACATATACTGTGGACTGTGGAAGAAAGCCATCAAAAACCAAGAGAAGCGCAAGGAGAATGTGCAAGCTCCACACAGGACGGATCAGCCAGTTTAAACCCCAAAACGTCTTGCTATGAGATCTCAGTGCTAACCACTGCGCCATCATGCCGCCTCCATGATAGTGCAGTGAATCATTTTTGCTTCAGAGACTTTTTCCAGAGAAGTCCAAATAGAAATATAATGTGGAAATATAGCATCTGGCACTTGGTGTCTGTGTAATCAAATGGTGATTGTTAGGTTATGGATGAGAAAAAGTGTTGATAAAAGTGTGACCTGTCAGCACATCACCGATATGTACCAAATTTAAAAATCTCATTGCAATCATGTGGCTTTTTTAAAATCATATGCTTTATGACAGCAGTGACATGCACAGACACTCACACCTACGCTCTGAACTATTTTTATCTAAAATAGATGATTCGACAATTGGATCACCTTCTGTTCTCTTTCATTACAGCGGTGGGTAGAGCTTGTGATATTTACTTACTGTAATAACTCTGTGTTACCATGTGTTGCCTCAGTGACCTGTACCACCACCTGGACAGCAAGTCCAGAAGTAAGCATGTGTAGGCTTTTTGCTTTTAATTAGTGTGTTTGTGGTTTTTCTATGTGAAACACACAATAGCAGACAGGCCATCTTAAAAAAACGTGGCTTTTAGATAAAACATACCAAGCTTTTTTCCTTATTAAGCATTACTGAGACTCACAATAGTGCACTAATCTTGTCAGAGGTTTTGTTATTTGGTTTATTTGCTTAAAATAAAACCATCATGCAAAGGCGTGCTAATTGTTGGTTAAGATAATGTGTGAAGTGAGAGATTTGTTTTGACGTAGCCTCCGACACTGAGGGTGTTCACATTCATTACTGATCCAAACAAAGCAAACATTTTTCGATTAATTTCCCTTGCTTTAATGCAGACATGTGAGGAAATGACAGGGGCAGGTATAAACACAGCTAATTTCCAAGGCTTTCAGGATAATAGATGAAATGCATGAGTGATGAACCACAGTGGCATATAAAGGGACTGTCACATACATGTCACTTCAGAACAAGCATCATGCAACCTGAGGCACATTTTAACATTTCAAACTGGGGAAGGTTGGGTTGTTTCTCTTCATTGTTCACCAAATCGGTGGTTCTTGTTGTTTTGCTGCCACGCTAAGCACAGAATCAAAGGTAGGAAGGGAAGAGACTGAATCAGTGACCATAAGACATACATAAGACATTTAATACTTGGATGCAGTAAGTGCCTTCCCAAAGTGTTTTCTTCATTTGTACTGCCTCCACCATGTTTGACAAATGATGTTTGCTTCAGATCCTGAGCCGTTCCTCTCATTTTTCATATTTTTCTCTTCTCATGATTCTGATACAAGTAAACCTTGGTTTCATCTATCTAATGATTATTTATTTATTTGTTGGTAAATCTAATGTGGTCCTTTTCAATTCTTGTTATCAGATTTTTGCACTTTGTTGTAAACCATCTCTTTACAAGGCATCTCTTGTTTGTAGACCTTTACAATTATCAACCTTTTTTCTTTCAAACTATTCTGTCATCATGCACTTTAGTTGTTTTCTGTGAGCTTGCGGGCCTTTTGGTGTCGCTGAGCTTCACTGCATTCATTCTTCTTAAGAATGTCATAGATGGTCGACTGAACCAATCTTACATATTTTGCAATCTCTCTTATAGGTTTATTTTGAGATGAGATGAGATAGGCTTTATTTGTCAGTTGCAGGTCTTTTGCCCACAACCGAGATGACAGACCTTGCCGACCGTACATACAATACAAACATTACATTGGGGAGACAGGTCAAGCTAGGTAGCGAGGAAAAAAAACATCGAAATGTGTAATACAGAAGGATAATACAGGAATGCACAGATATCAACACACTATAGCACAATAAACACAGACAAGCACAGACAAGCAACATGGGAAAGTGTGTACATCTGATCTGGTACCGCTGCAATCTTCGACTGCGCCTCTAACTGACCCGATGTCCACATCAGAGGGTGGCGTTGGATCTGGGGTAGGGAGGGTGATGCGTCAGTGAGTGCTTATCAGTATCAGTATATGTATGTGTGTGCGTGTCCATAGTTCAGCTGAGACAGTGTCCTTCGCCCTGCCAGGCTAAGTAAACAGTCTTCCAGCCAACCCAGGTGGCCTTGCATGGAATGGGAAGGAACAGACTCAACACAGTCGTTATCAGGGAGTTTTTGTTCGGCTCCAGCCTTGAGCCCACAGCTGGCGCCGAAGGGGTAGCCGGATTATGATGGTAATTTTTCTTTTGCAACAACTCATGAGAATTTCAAAGCTGTTCTTTAACACTCCAACACTGGTCTCTCAATCTCCCGTTGGAGAACCGCAAGTTTCTCCATGATGTTATCAACCTTCAGTTCCGTGGTGTTGTCATTCTTTTGCTCAGAGAGCAGATTCTGAGACCTCACGACTGCAGTGAGCTGTTCTACGATGTAAATGGCCTGCATTTGTATTTGTATAGCGCTTTTCTAGTCCTTAAGGACCCCAAAGCGCTTTACACTACATTCAGTCATTCACCCATTCACACACAGGTGATGGCAAGCTACATTGTAGCCACAGCTGCCCTGGGGCGCACTGACAGAGGCGAGGCTGCCAGACACTGGCGCCACCGGGCCCTCTGACCACCACCAGTAGGCAAACATGGGGTAGGATTTTTGGCATGCAGCCAGGAGGCAGCCTGGGATCGAACCACCGACCTTCTGATTAGTGGCTGACCTGCTCTGCCACCTGAGCTACAGCCACCCCAATGTAATCCAACTTTCCCTCAAAGGTGTTATTCTGAGCCTCTCCTTGATGTAACCCAATATACGCTCAGAGGTGTTATTCTGAGTATTCACGGCAGCTGTAAATGTCTCCAAGGTCTTAACCATGCTGCTTTCAATGAGCCAGTTCTGAGAAGTCGCGCCTCGTACCATCGTTTCAATCCCAGCGGGCAGCCTTGGGGGGGTTTGAACAGCCGGTTCCCCTTTCTTAATTCTCTGATAAGTCAGGGTCAAGCCAGCTCCGATCAGCAAGAACCCTGTTATCATGGTTCCGAATAGGTAGATATCTTCAGCGTCCTCGATCGACAGTCCCGCCAGGCACACGATCCTCCATTTCTGCCACCCGTCCATCGTGTATCCGGCAGGGAAAGTCCCTCCCAGACTTCTCCTTGAGAAAAGGGTGTCAATAGCATTCAGAGACCAGTTGATCAAATCCATAATTCCCTTTAGGTTTTAGAAACAGACTGTGAGAGTGTGTTCCAGGGAAAAGTAATACAAAAAACACGAGACTAGACAAGGACATAAGAACTAAGCAGGGAAGATAAGGGAGAGGAGAAAAAGTGCGTCCGTCTCCTCCGAGAGCCAAAAGGTTTTTTCAGGCAAATAGTTGCCCCCTTTACTTATGTCAGTTTCTCCTCATATTGAAAGATCCAGTGCAAATATATCACTCAGAAATAAAACTACAAAAACGTTGTCATTGTCACGGACCTAGCTGTATACATCGTGGTGGTTCAAAAACCACCTTTCTTTTCCAGAAAATCATCTATGTCATCCAAATTCCTGATAAAAGACAGGAACTCATTTTTTTAGAGGAAATAAAGTCATCTGCATATTTCCTGTCAGTTTTAAATAAACACCAGTTGAGCAGTTTAATATAATGTTACATAAATAAACATTAATGAATTAATTTAAAAGGGATACAGCAATACAGGTTGTTTCCGCTTTTCATTCAACACACATTTATAGATGTTGAGGACACCTTGAAGGCGTTTCATTTCTTTCTTTCAGCACTGAGGCAGTCGGCAGAGTGGCAAGAATAAAATCATTTTCTGGAAAGTAGATATCAGAAAGGATTCTTTAGCCTCGGGCTCTATGGTTTATTCAACGGTCAGCTTAACACCTTTAAGAAGCATTAAAACATCCAGAATTTATTCATTTAATTATTTTGGTCCGGATGACAACATCTATAAAGAAGGCGATAATCAGTGAAATATTTAACCAGAATATATTTTAGTTTTTGGTTGGTAAACAAATTCCGTATGCTTGCCCTGATTGGTTTCTCCCTTTTTTTTCCTTTTTTGTTTTGTTCACTAGAAACTACCTACACACGTGCATGCGCGTGTACATACACAAACACACACGCGCACACACACACACAGGAACTCATGCAACACTGAAGCCGTAACACCTGCTGAGAGAGTTGAATCTCATTACTTTCAATTACATCACTGAGCACAGCAATACCTGGCTGTTTAATATGTAGAGTTTCTGTTCTCTCCATGGAGAGGGGAAATACACAACACACACACACACACACACACACACACACACACACACACACAAAACGCCCCCCTGCTGAGAAACATAAACACTATTAGAGTCAATCGAGGGAAAGAGAATGGGGCTGATTTGATTGGTGTTGTTTATATTCCACCTCAGAGAGCTGAACAATTAAAGCTTGTGCTGCTGTAGGCAGATCCCAGTGACGTCAACACCGGCGCAACCGCTTTCCTGAGTTCATGATTAATGTGGGGTTTTCAGATCACACAAATGTGAAATAAATATCTTTTAAAAGTAAATGAAAAAGCAATTATAATACAATTTTGTTATAAAGTGGATAAGCAACAGAGCCCCTCTGTACTGTGAGTGCTTTTTTTGGTTTTTACCCATAATTATCAACACTCTGCCACATAATCTGTGACTCTTTCATTTTTGATGCAATTTTGTCATCACTCTGTGGGCCAGATTTACTAATGCTCTGTCCAAGCATTAAAAAAATACTTGTGTTATCTGTACTTACTGTAGAGGCACAGTGGTAAGCATGGACACAGCTATTTTTGCAGCTGGCCTTGCATACAGCATGTATTTGAAGATCCTTCGATTTCAGAGATCAAAATTATGGGAGGAAAGCATTTAAATGAATCATACAAAAAATATTTACTAAGGTTTGTAGGAGGCAGTTGACTGAAAACCACTACTATCAATGCAGTCTTGTGAGTGCAGCCTCACACTAATTCACCCTGCTTGGTAAATCTGTCGCTACCCAAAATATTTTCAGGGCTGTCAGAGATGAAATCCAGTCGTGTTTATTTATTATTCTTGTGTGAAAAGAGCGAAGCATAAAAAAATAGATAAATTAAAATGCAAGCAGCATCACTGTAGTCATATGACATAAAAGCAATTTAATAAGACCAGTTTAAAAAATATGAATATGGGTGTGAAGGCTAATTGGACAGCCCAGCAATGCAAAGTTTCAAAGGCAAACAATTGCAACTTTTGTTGCAAAGTAAACTGAATATATAATTTTTAGCAAAACGAAGCATGCAAAAATCAATAGTACAGTAAACCAAAGAAACCCAGGCAAAAATGAAACCTGTTTAAATCCAAACAATAAATGGAAAGAAATGGATGAAAACTCAAAAGTATTAGCATGATATAGAATGTACACTTTTACTTTTTCCATTCATTCAATTATATTATCTTTTAGTGTTTTTGCTTGTCAGCCCCACAGTTTGTTTTTTTTGCCAACACCCACTGTATCAGCACTCCTGTCAATGCAGTGGTCTCATTTAAATGAATGAAGGGATCATTTCGCCTTGAAGCAGAGGGGATGAAGATATTATTGGACACATAATGCATGTGGAAATTGGTATATTTCAGTGACAAATATCAGTTGAAGAAATTCCAGACAGGATGACTGTCAGTCGGAGTCGCCTCATTAGGCTTCACAGATCACTGTAAGATGAGAGCTCCCTGGTCAAAGCATGACCGATAGAGCCAAGTGGCTTGGGACTCTTTAAATAAAAATCCTCAACACCCTCAGGAAAATGATGAGTGTTTCGGGAAAACTGATTATCACCATCACTCATTATTTCCCCACATTATAGTGGCCTTTTCATTGGCCAAGTCTAACCAGTTGGCACTCTAATGTTTATTGACGGGAGATTTCTTGTCCATGGGGAAACACCAAACAGTTCTTGGGCTTCAAATACGCCCCCGATGAGGGTCTTTAGAAACACTGGCTGGAATATTCCCTTGACTGTTTTATTGTCAAGCTCAATGGAGCATGTATGGTTATGTCTGATCTCATCTTGTAGTACTTTGTTGTTTTCCAAGCTGGACATCAAGACAACATCCTGCACCATCTCCCTGGCATATCCGGTTGTTTAGCTCCCAAGTCAGGATCATGGTGTTCCTTAATTTTAAGCTTTCACTGTCTCTCCCTAAAGGTGCCACTCAGGCAATTCACAAGCCAGCTGCTCATGTTTTGTATGTTAGTGTGTGCTGGGAACAGTGAGATCATGGGCTGTTCTTGTGGGTCTTAGCTATCAGCAGCGGTTGCTGGCACTTGGCTTTTTCATTCCCCTTCATTTCTGTTCCAGGAAAAAATAAATTAACAATGATCAATAAGTTGTTGAGGTAATGTAACATCTATGATAGGCTGATTAACTGTTTTGTGTAATTCTAAACTAAAGCTTAAATATCTTTTAGCTTTGGAGAGCTCATCAAACTCATCTATATAAAAAAGTACATATATATATATATATATATATATATATATATATATATATACTGTATATATATATTCCAAGCATACACTTAGATGAATTAACTCTCAGGTGATTACAGAACTGGAGCTGAATAGCAGGTGGTTTAGTTGAAACACTATCAATGGAGGTAAGTACAAAGTAAGATGTGGTGGAAGAGTCTTGAGGGGAAAATCTCCCTTAATCTTTTCTGCATGTCCACAAATTTTTTATGCTTCCTCCACCCTATTTGCCTTCCGCCGATTCTCATCTTTCACTCAGCATTGTTTAAAAATCTAGCATAATATAATCTGTCTCACCGTCATCTTGATCTTCTTTGTCTATTTTTTCCACAGGTTCCCTCTATTACCCGGTCCGTGGGCCATGACAGGATCTTGGCTCTCCGCCAGCAAACTCAGTTCCTCTGGGACGCCTACTTCTCCTCCATAGCCAAAATAGTCTTAACAACTCTTGAGGTAAGCTTGCAAAACATTGTCTTAATGGGAGTTGTGGATTTATTTTCATCAGGAGAGTTGCATTTAGTCAGTCAAACTGCTATAGCTTGTTCTGTACTATACATTGCCGCTGGCTATGCATCACCTCCCAAAGACAAACTTTTGAAAGATTTCTTTCTCCAGTTGTCAGTATTTTTTTTTATCCAAAGAAGGTTAGCTGAATGTGCCCTCTCTTTTGCAGTACTTTTTCTGCTCCATATTCATACATTTCCACTCAGAAGCAGCTCGGCAATGCAGTGTTCAAACACTCAGTGAAGGTATATCAAAGTTACTGGGGGTGATTTGGCATGCTCAAAGTTTGTTTTGAGATCAGGGTTACAGTTTGACTTTTTGTTGTTGTTTTTTCTTCATAAAACTGTGTTTTTCTGCAATAAACCCTTAAGCATCATTTGAGAAAGCCGCTGATACACCATTGGCATATAACATTTTTATATAGAACTTATCCTTTTTTCAACTCTCAAAGCTACTGCCCCTCTTTCCCTTTGATTTGGCACCAGCTAGTACTTAATGTTCATTTTCTTCACTGTCATCAGACTTGTGACAGTTACATATATTTAGCAGGAGTCCTTCTGTATCTAATGGTAGTCTAGATTGTGTGTGACTTATCAGTTCTAATCAGTGACAAACAGAAAAGAAAACCTCTTGCTATGTGTGAAAAGTGCTCATAAAATCTCTGGTGGACTATTCAGCAAGGTTAACCTAGAAAACGTTACATGGAGTTCAGGTTTTATTTTAACCTAACCTGACAATCTTTGAGAAAAGAAAAGAAATATTGAAGATGGAAACCAGCATTTTGTTGCCTGAAATGAAAACATAGGCGTCGTGAAGTGCCAGTTGTGAAGCACCAAGTGTGAAGGAGGACCATGCTGTCTGGCAACCTACAGGTTTAAGAGGCTGCAGTATGTGAGTGGGCGTTCATGCCCGCTCTCAAGGCTAGAAACCCACAGGCTGGCTCATTAAATGACCTAACCAGCTGATGTACAGAAATGAACCTGTGTCATTGCCATGTACCACAAAAGCCATCCTAGTCTTCCTTTTTTTCTTTTTCTTTATTTGTTTTAAAAGAAATTCATTTCCTTACAACCTCGATTCAGACAACCTCGATTCAGACCTCAGGGACCATTTGCGCTTTGTATCATCTCTGAACACAGACACAGAGGATAATAATCCTTTTTATCACCAACATCAGCAGAAGAATCATAGGTATCATTACATAAACATCAGTATGATTGCTATGATCTTTCTAAAGCCCACAGTTTGTTTTAATTTATCACGTCCACCATGAATACTAATATCATAATTATCACAATTATCATCATAGCGATAACATAAATACTATTATTACAATCATTACACCAACAAAGAAAGACTAACTTTTTCGACTTAATTTTTTTTAATGTGTGTAAAAATATTATTACTAGGTGAGGACTGTGGTTGTTGTGTAGGCCAGTTTGTTGTCTGATTTAATTGCTGAAGTTACACTGAATGCAAGTTTAAAGGTGGAATCTCCATTCTTTTTCACAAAGTAAGTTTGAAGCACAGGTATACAGGTAGATCTTTTTGCACATATTTAGGCTTTATTAAGACTAAGAAAATTGGCTTTATCATTCTTATTGATTTTATATCTTACCTCTTTGAATTTGTACAAATAGAAAGAAAGTTTAACAGACTGAAAAGCCATTAATTTTTAATGCTGGCACAGTTATTTTCTGTTATTAGTCATAAAATAATGACTCCCTTTTTAATTCTATAGCTCAGTTGATTGCTTTGATTGCACAAATGAGCAATCAAGGTATCAACTTTCAAAACTTTCAAAATATGAAGCACGCCTAACCATCCCTGAAGGGTTTCAAACAGCTACTACCTTGTACTTAAAAGTACAACCTTTTTATTTTCCTTATTATTTTCCAACTTTTGCTTTCAGAATTTGCCTCCTGTTAAGTGTATAATTTTCTACTTCATATGCATATGTAAAGTAGAAAAATGATACAGTGAACTGAAAGTACGGCATATGCAATTGAAATGAAAGATCTCATGCCTGTAATAACGTCACACATTTGTCTGTTGAGCCAATTTAATGCTGTGTATATTAAAATGTTTGCATCAATGCCATCTATCAAACACCAGGAATAAGGACCCATCTATTTGTAAAATGACTGATAATTTCATCACCAAGCCCTACAACTATAATTTATGTTTGCCTTCATGTTTACCTTAATAATACAAAGTGTCCTCAAATTGCAGCATTTTTTTTTTTTTGAGCACAAACAAGACCTTGGTAATTCCACCAAATGCCCAGTGCTAGCAGGGTATGAAATTAGACAGGAGACCGCTGACAGCTGTATACTGTTGGCCAGATGTGCTAAAAAGTCAGAGCCAGCATGCCACCAGGCTAAACGGGTGAAATGAAGCGTGGCTGATAACCGTAGTGTCCCACATACTGCGAGCCTGACAGTTGGTGTAAGGAGGTGGGTGTGTAGGCATATATGTGTGTGTGTGTGTGTGTGTGGCTGTTAAGAGCTGGATGTAAGTGTCAATTCCCCACTCCCTGTTTCCTCCACTGTTTTGATCTAAATACAAAGAAATATGATTAAAAACTTTGTTTGTTTTTTAAATTAAAAATGTGTTTTTTAAGTTTCACAATAAGTCAAAACTACTTAGGTATATCTCTACTTTTGAATGGTTTATAGTCCATTATTAGTCATGCAAAAAATTTAAAATATGCATGTAAAAGTCAAAAATATAGACAGCTCATATGCCATTTATGAAGAAACAACCCGAAATGAAATTCAAGGATTTTTATGTCACTATATAATTTGCAAAAATAAATAAATACAATTTTTAGTAGCAACCAACCAATTGGCTAGGATCAACAGCTCCATTACTCTTGCATTACATCCTCTTGGCTCACTGTCACAACATTCAACCAGCTCACCCAACCTCCGGTAACAAGACAGATGGATCGTGTTAGCTAACTCACTAATGGACTGCTGATGTTGGGATTGAGTTGCTCCACAGGATGAAGTGTCTTGGGTCTGCAAAGATGTTCCTCTCTTCGAGACCTCTCAAAGCACCTAACATAACCTAAAAAGCTGTCATTTTAAATTTCAAATATTAGTACATGTCTGTTGTTAGGTGGCGGAGTTAAGGGGGCAATTTCAGGCAATTGATTTTTCAGTTTGACTGAAAAAAAAAATACAAGTTTCCCTGATCTTATTCTTCTTTTTCTTCACACATCCTCCTTTCTGCTTTACCTCTCTGCTTCATCCAGATCATCCAGGACCGCGTGGACTCCCTTATATCCAGAAACCGTTTGTTGTGGAATTCCCTACCTGGTGGTCTGTATGCACTCCCTCAGTACTCAACTGACGCCGCCCAGTTTCCTTTTTACTATGCTCTACTGGGTGAGTACATAAGCTTTCCGTAAGAGTCATTTCAGTGTAGCACAGATGGTATAGGTTGTTGTTTAATGACTTAGCTGCAGCACAGGTGAATAACTGGAATGCAGTGATGAGTACCTTTTGTCAGAGGAGGCACAAAACATGAACCACAGTGTGGTGCATGTGCTGGGGAAAAGTCAGGTTTGCTGCAGATCCAGCTTGCGATTTACAGGATTTAAACAAATACTCTTGAATGTCTCAAGGTGCCTAAAGGTCACTCAGTTTATTGCATGCCACTTCCTGTGACACAGAGCTAATAAACTCAAGTTTGATACATATATGATAATTACTGAATCCGGGCTGTGATGCATGGCCGCAGTTTTTCTGTTATTTGTTTTCATTAAGTGTTCTCCTTGGCACAATCATATTAACAGCTGAAGGACACATCATGCAAACAACGATTACGTGGCCACATTTTCTTTTTTGTTGGAATCCAAAACATTCCCTTTTCTTTCAGGGAAATATCAGAATTGTCACTGACAGCCAGGAAGGCTCAACAGATGCTGTCAGTATCATAAAGCCTTGATCAGTGACAGAGAAGTTTCTGCGACAATTCCTGTGTTTTTCTGAAAGTTTTCGCCTCTGAACACAATGACCATATCACTGAGTAAAAAAATTGTAAAATGAGGATGTGTTTGCCAACAAATTTTAAATCCAGTCAACTTGGACTTCATTGGCTGCCTAAACTGTGCAAGAAACTGCTGTCTATAGAGCCTAAAACAGTAAATGTACAAGCAGCATAACTTATGACAGGTCAGATAAGTGGTTAACAACGGCAGCTGTAATAAAAATCTGCAATATTGTTTTTAAAATGTATACGTAAAATTTTGCAAGACTCCTGTTGGGGCATAGTTCAGAAACTTGAAGCTGCAGGGAAAGAAATAAGGCTTCTATATGTGCATGTTTATGTGGGTGTGCAGACCAGAGAGACTCTCAGTAGTCTGAGGCTGTAACTCAGATCGATGTTTGTCTTTCTCTGAGGAATTGTGGACACAAGGGTTAGAAGGAAGAGAGAAGAGAACCAAAGATGGAGCAGTTTTGTTTACACCTCTGCAGTAAATCACTATTTTTGCTGCCGCCATCACCGGCGCTGCTGCTGGGGGAATAACTTTTCGCTAGCGCCGTGTATAAGACGGTCTCACTCTGATACCTTCCCATAAGTTTTCATGGCAAAGCTGTTGCAACTTGAGCCTGATAGTTTAAAAAAGTTTGGCTTAATGTCAATACATAGCGGCCTTGGGACAAGTAAGGCATCACGATCAGATGCCTCAAGTTACACTTTTATTTTAGTGTGTGAAAAGGAGTCCAATCATCTGTGCTCTGCAGCTTCTTCAAATTATATAAACAAAAGAAGGTTGTGTTAATATTCTAGAAATTGATGTATCAGAGCAATACTGTTCCAATATATAGCATCTATTTTATAGCTCGTTTGACATTTGTAGTTTTTTTTTTAATGGTGTTGAGTTTCAGATC